GAGTTTTGTATTGCTGCTGTAACATATTACCACAAATTTCGCAGCTTAAAAAAAACACAAATTTATTTGAAATGGGTCTCATTGGACTAAAACAAAGGCATTCTCAGGGCTGCATTACTTCTGGATGCTCTAGGGGAGATTCAATTTCCTTATATTTTCCAGCTTCTCGAAGCTGCCCACATTCCTTGGTTTGTGGCTCCCTTCCAGCTTCAAAGCCAGCAATCACATCATTCTGACCACTGCTGCCATCAACACATCTACTTCTTTGACTGTCCTCCCTCCTTCTTTCACTTATAGGGATCTCTGTGATTACATTGAATCCACCTGGGTGATCCAGAATGATTTCCGCATCTTAAAATCCTCAATGCCAATCACATCTGCAAAGTCTCTTTGTCCACGTAAGGTAACATATTTACAGGTTATGAAAAACAGAAAGTACATATCTTTGAGGTGGGAGGAGGGACATTATTCTGCTTTCCACAATCACTTGTGCAACTCAAAAAAAAAATTTCAAAAAACCTTATGTCATAAAATTTTTCTCATCACTAAAAGTCCTCATTATTATAATTCTTCATAATGCCTAATTTTTCACTATAGGGATGTATTACTATTTAACTGGTCCTCCAGTTTACAATATTAATATTTAGGTGGTTGTATATTTTCATGATTAAAGATGATGGTTTTCATGACAAACATCCTTGGGCCTTTTGGGGGAGGTGTTGAATCAGAAAGGGGTTAAGGAAATGAATGGACTTGGTAGTCGGAAAGACCTGAGTTCAAATCTAGCCTCTGCCTCAAGTGATCCTCGTCACTGGAGTCTTGATTTCCTCCTCTGCAAAGAGGGGATCCTTACAAAAGCTTCAACCCTGTAACTTTTTTTTGTATTTTTTAATTGATATATCATGGTACATATTTTAGGGGTATATGTGATATTTTGATACATGCATATTATGTGTGTAATGATCAAATCAGGGTAATTAGGATATCCATCACTTCAAATCACAGATTTTTTAAATTGTTACATTGAAATATAACTCACATATCATACAATCCACCCACGTAAAGTGTAAAGCCAAGGATTTTTAGCTTTGTAGGGTTTTTGCAGGATTCAATGATGTGGAAAACATAAATTGTCATCCCTATTAATAATTCTTTGTTTATAATTTTCATTATTTTCTTTTTTTTCTTTTTTTTTATTTCAGCATATTATGGGGCTACAGATGTTTAGGTTACGTATGTTGCCCTTGCCTCCCCCCAAGTCCGAGTTTCAAGTGTGTCCATCCCTCGGATGTTGTGCATCGCACTCTTTGTGTATGCATATACCTGTCCCCTAATTTTCATTATTTTCTTAAGCTAGGTTCCTAAGAAGCAGCAATACATGATAAAAACCTGTAAACCTCTCAAACGTTTTGAAAATGGACCTTCTGAAGGTAGAAGGTGGTCTTCAGAGGGAGTTAAAAATGTGTTTGGTTTTGGTTTTGGGAGGTTTGGGGTATTTGGATAGAATTTGGGGGTGCAGGAGTTGGTTTGAAAGTGTTATTTGACACACTATGTCCTCTTTCATTCTCCCTTGTACAACTCTGAATTATACTCACCCCCAAACTGCATGCACAGAGTAATTCGGAGGAGTCAATTCTAGTTCGCTGAATCTCCCTGCCCTGTCACCCACCCCTGCAGAGCTACCAGCCTGCTTCTCTTCATGCCCAAGTAAGACTCCTTCAGTGAGGGCTGCATGGGTACCATCCCCAATTGCCCATCTTTACTCAAGCCAAGCCAGCTTCATGGAGAGCCCCAGGAAAGGGGTCTCTGCCAATTCTGTGGGGTGCCCAACGCACCTACCAACAAACTATAAACACATATTCCATTTGGCCATGGGAGGATTGACTACAAAGTTTCAGGGCTGAGTTAGTGAAGTGTCAGCCAAATCCAGGAGTGTGTTGCACCAGAGTGGTGTGTGGGTGAATCCTCAGGCATCCTGCAGGTGTGGGAGCAGGTTACGTGAGATGGGTGTGGGTTGGGTGGTGAGGGATGAGTGGAAGGTGCAGGCAGGGTGGGTGGAGTCAGAGGTGGGTGAGAGTGGAGGTGAGGAATGGGGCCGCAGCTGAGGTTGGACACAGTAGTTAGACCAGTGGTTCGTAATCATTTTTGGGTCATAGCCTCCTTTGGGAATCTGATGCATGCTAAGGAAAGAATGTACGCACACACACACACACACACACACACACACACACACATACACACACACACAAATTTTGCACATAGTGCCAGGGGATCCTGGAACCCAGGAAGCTCATCCAAGGGCTCAGGATTAAGAATCTCTGGTCTGGATTAGTTCATAGGGACTTGTCAGAAACAAATCCTAAAGGTGCATTAAGAGCCCAAGAATGTTTATGTCTTTAGTGCGAAAGAGATTTAGGGAGGTTTGGCAGTTTGGGAATTAAATTCCAAGTCCACTAATTCCACAAAGGTTTCTTTTCTTCCAGTTTTCATTTTGAACATTTTCAAATCTACCAAAAAGTTGCAAACTTACATACTGTTCAACTACATTCACTAATTGTCAAAATTTAACCCCAATTGCTCCAATCCCCAATGCCCCATGTGTGCTAATGCTCTTAGGGACACGTTTTTCCAGAGAAAAAGTTGCAGATATTATGATACTTCATCCCTAAATACCTGGCATGTAACTCCTAAAATCAAAGGATTCTCTTTCATAACCACGACACCATCATCGCACTCATTAAATTTAACACTGATACAATACCACGATGTAATATACACCCTATATTCAAATTTCTCCAGTGGTGTCCTTCTATGAGCTGTGTTCGTTCTCCCTCCCTCCCTCCTTTCCTTCCTACCTTTTTAAAATCCAGACTCTAATTCAGAATCCTACACTTCATTTAGTTATGTCTCTCAGTCTTCTCTGATCAACAACACTACTCCAGGGTTTGGTTTTGTTTCTCTTGTGATATTGATATTTTTGAAGAGTCCAAGCTAGCTGTTTTGCAGAATGTCCCCCAGTTTGGATTTGTCTAATGGCGCCCTTGTGATTATATTCAGGTTGAACATTCTTGGCAGGAGTACTACATGGGGGATGTGTCCCTTCTCAGCGCGTCGCATCAGAGGGTCAGTTGCTTCCTTACTGACGATAAGATTGATCCATGATTAAGGTGGTGAAGTCCAGGTTCCCCTTTGTAACCCATAAGTCTTCTGTGGGGTAACACTGTATTATTCATTGGAGGCCCCCAACTATAGCCAGTGCGGGGTGAGCTGGTGGTGAGCACCCAGTTCCAGTCCTTGCTGTCATACTGTTTTTACAGGGGAGGAAAACAAATAATGACAAGATATGCAGTTTTATGAAGGATGTGGATAGGGTGCTGAGTTAGAGAAGTATTAACTCTAGATAAAGTGATCTTTAAGGTGAGACTTGAAGAGGAAAAAGGAGTCAGCAGTGGGAAGGTGGGAGTGGAGGTGGTGGAGGCGGCCCCTGGCCAAGCGTGGAAGATGGAAGGAGATGAAAGATGGGTGTGAGGTGGTCTCAGGGAGCGAAAAGTGATAGGAAAAAGGCCCTGGATCTGGGGATAATAATATTAAACACTTAGTATCTTAATACTGAACACAGTTCTAAGCGTTTTCCATGGTTTACCTTGTGTAATTCTCCCTGCAGCCCTGTGAAGTGGGTGCCAGTGCTCGTTTTATGCTGTAAAATCTGTAGCACAGAGAGGTCGAGTAATTGCCCGAGGTCACACAGCCTGTAAGTAGCAGGTCCCGGTAGATCTAATTCCACAGTCTGTGCTCTTAGCTCTATCAAGGCGGAAGGAGCGAGGTCTCATTTAGAAAACAATGTGAGAAAGGACTGCAGTCAGAGCAACCTGGACTGGGTGAAGAGGTTCTGTTGATAAAGGATGTGGGATGGGAAAGCAAGACAGAAGAAAGGCCCAGAAGATCAAAGAGTTTCAGGCCTAGAAGACAGCATCATAAGACAGGCCAGCTTGGTTGTCTGCCCTCCAGCCCATCCCCAACCCCCTAGCCTGTCCCTTCTCCTGCTCTCTCTCTTCCCAAACAGAAACAAGATATTTACAGAGTTTCAAAGTATCTCCCCACAAATTATTTATTAATTACAAAGGGAAAAAATTATAACTTTACAGTGGCACAACCTGCCAGTCTCCAGTTTAACCAAGTGACCAAAGTGGACAATCAGAGAGGGTTCTCAGGGAAGGCTCTGGAAGAGAACTTGGGGGAAAGTGCAGGAGAAGGGATTTGTGAGGAGGCTCTGGATGAAGACAGAGTGGGAAGACATGGGGGTTGAGGAGTCTATGGGGACAGGGCAGGGTCCAGAGGCAGAAGAGGGGGTGTCTCTGAGAGGGAGAGAGAAAACTTGAGGTGGAGGAGGTTTGAGGTTCACAGCGAGTCGTTGGGAAGAGGCGTGATGGCAACAATTCGGGTGATGAGAGGGTCAGAACAGGGTCAGTATGGGAGGTGCCAGGGTGGTGGCCAGAGGTGAAGGGGTCGGGATAGGCGTGTCCAGGACAGTCAGAAAGGGTCGGGATAGGAGGGGCAAGGCTCTAGGGCAACAAGGCCCGGTGGTGAGCGGAGGATGAGAGTTGGACCGCGGGGCGGGGCGGGGCGGCGGAAGACCGGGGGCGG